CCCTGGGGACACTGATTCAAGCTTTCAAATGGCTAACTCTTCAGAGTGGGGAGCATTCCCCTGACTGTTTCTCCTCCTCAGTTCCACCTCCCCCCACAGTGGGGAGAGGGCTTCCTGGGAAGCTGATCTGCCTTCCTCCCTGACCCTCTGTTTAGACTCGTCTAGCAACCCCCACCCAAACCAAAAGAAATGTGGTCTTAGTGACATAGTCCAGATTCCACTGTAAGAAAAGCAAAGATATGCCCAGCAGCCCTGAGCCCCAACCTCAGAGTGCTTCTGACTCTGTCCCTGTGGGGCTGTCCTTGTAAGCTGCTCTCAGTTATGCCTGCCTCCTTCCCACTCGTGCGACAGTGACTCCTGCTTCCTCCCATCGCCAGTCCAGTTTAATTGCCTGAAATTTGAGGGCACAGGATTGAAATCCTAAGTGAGGACTTTAGTGGTCCAAAGGGGATCTTTTTCTTGCACAGCTCCCATATCCAGGCCATGGCAGAGCCCTCTGGTGCCTTGCCTGGACATTCCTGGTAGACAGCCTGTCTTAATGCCCCAACTGGGTCAGGTGCCTCCGGCATGAGATCCTGGAGTACCCCGGATGTCTCCACGATAGCTCGGTGACTCTCCACGTTTGTTGTCCTTTTTAAACAATCAGTTGTCCGTTATTTTTAAGCAATGAATCTGCCCTATGTATTTCCAACTTGCCCTGTGCCCAACATAGCGGAGGGGGCCCCATACCATTTGTTGATTGATCAAAAGCATGAATGGCTGCTGGTTGACTTTTTTGTATGCCCTCACAAAGTCTTCATTAAACATTCAGGCACTGAGCTGGCTCCTGAGCAGTCAGATCCTCTGGAAGAAATCCCTTCTCTGTGCGGATAGGGACCTAGCTCTTGGCAGGGATTGTCTGACCCCTGATAACAGGGACCCTAAGAATTTCTGTCAGCCAGGATTTATGGCTATGGAGAAAAAGGAAGTTCTTTGCTTCCAACCATTCTCCTGTAGATCAACTTAACTTTAATTAGCAAGTATAACAAATCAAGCATTGTGGGTGAATATAAGATCAGTATCATTAAAAAATATTTACAAGAGACCTATTAGTGCAAAATACTCTTCTATGCACTGAGAAAAGGGAGCATAGAGAGCAAGAGAGACCCATGGATGCAAAGAACATTTAGTCCTATTCTGAAGAAGATTATAAACTGGCAGGTGAGACAGCACCTCTACAGCTAATTATACCACATGGAAAACTAGAAGAGGTGCATTATAAACATCGCCTGGGAGCACACAGAAGGGAACTATTTATTCTGACTGTGGTCAATCATTCATTCAATTAACTGAATGTCTACATTATGATTCCTGGCCAAAAGATGCTTATGATGAGAGACAACCTGGCTGTCGTTCAATGTCCATTTTCCTTCTTTCCTCTTTAATAATTGAACCCCAGAGTTTTAGTTAAGCACACAGTCTCCCAGCTAAGGATTATATTTCCCTGACTCTTTCTGCAGTGAGGGGTAGCCAAATAATTACATTCTAGCCAAAAGGATGTAAGCAGATGTGAGGGGGGCACTCTCCATGACACGGCCTCCACTTTCCTTCTCTTCCTGCTGCTGGCTGGAATACAGATGAAATGGTGAGAGCAGTAGCAGTTATCTTAGATTATGACAGAACAACAAGATAGAAGAAGGCTAGACCTCGGGTTACTATCTCCCACCTGACCATGTGCAATTTCTCCTAACTGGCATTCCTGGATGCCAAGCCATTCCTTTTTCTCTCCAAGCCACTCCTTATGCTTCTATATGATTTTTTAAAAATTATGTTTCTTGATGAAAAGACTTTCAAATGTAGTCTGCATTCTTCAACCAGACACACAAGAGCTTCAATAATCTGTCTCTTCCCTACATTTCCAGTCTCATTCCCTGCCAAATTCTTCTGCATGCTTTCTGCTTGCAGTCAGCAAACCTCTGGATCTCCAAAACACATAAGGCATGTCTTCCTTTTTTGGTCTTTCATGCCCAGTTCAATGCCACCCCTAAGGAAGTCCTCTGAGCTACCCAGTCAAGGACTCGTCAGGGTGCTCTGAGCTGCCACAGTTCATGGTTTGTTCCCTGTTGTAGCACATAGTTCACCCTTGGATTGTAGTTGGCTGTTTCCCTAATTGCTCTCCAATAAAACCATAAGCCACTTAATTGAAGAAATCAGTTTTACCCAATTTTCTTTGTGTATATACATTTTTATTGAAGTACAGCATATGCAGAAAACATTGTATAAATAATAAATGTACAGCCAGAGAAAATTTAATAAAGTGAACTTCCCATATCATCAGCACCCAGATCATGAAACAGAACATTAATATCCTCCCCCATAGAAACTCTCTTGTACTCTTTTTATGGTCAGCACCGCCCAAAGGAAACTACTATCTTGACTTTTAACATCATAGATTAATTTTGCCTGTTTTTGGAAAAGGCAAAAGTAAACATAAGTTGAATCATATGGTTTATACTCGATTTTTGTCTGGTTTCCTTTGCTTAACATTATGTACGTGAGTTTCACCCATGTTGTTGCGGGTGGCTGCAGTTCATTCACTCTTACTGCTGTCTGGTTTTCATTGTATGAATATATCACAATGGATGCATCTATTCCACGATGGACGGGCATTTGGGCTCTTTCCAGTTTGGAGTTATTCTCATTAGTGCTGCTATGAACATTCTTTTTTTTTTTTTTTTTTCTTTTTTGAGACGGAGTTTCACTCTTGTTGCCCAGGCTGGAGTGCATCTCGGCTCGCTGCAACCTCCACCTCCTGGGTTCAAGCGATTCTCCTGCTTCAGCCTCCCATGTAGCTGGGATTACAGGCATGCACCACCACTCCTGGCTAATTTTTTATTTTTAGTAGATACAGGGCTTCTCCATGTTGGTCAGGCCGGTCTCAAACTCCCAGCCTCAGGTGATCTGCCCACCTCGGCCTCCCAAAGTGCTGGGATTACAGGCATGAGCCACCGCGCCCAGCCAGATATTCTTGTGCATGTCTTCTGGTGAACATATGAGCACATTTCTGATGGGTATATACTAGGTGTGAAAACTCTGAGTCATGGGATAGGCATATGGCCAGGTTTAGTAGATCTATTTATACAGAGGAGTTGTGTTAATTTACATTCCCACTAGAAGTGGGAGCTCCATATTCTCACCATCCATAATCAGTTGTCTATTCACGTCTCCCTTCTTCCCCTTCCTTGCCCAGAACAAGGCAATACAGATAGAGAGTGAGAGTACCATGAATGTTTGTATAACGGTATACAGTTGAGTTGAACCATTGGAGGAGCAGAGGGAGGTAAAAATAATGAATGTTTAAACCCATACCGAGTGCTGAGCTCTTGACATGCTTTATAGTATTTAATCACTGTAATCATGCTCTACACTCTAAAATCCAGTGGAGCCCAATAAACTCCCAAATTAGGAAACTAAAGACCAGAGAGATTAGGAAACTTATGCAGAATCACCATCACTAAAGGTAGAGGTAGAAGCTGAGCCTCCAAAGTCCACTTGCTTTCCATTATATCCTGTTGCCTTCTGGCACTCATTACAATTTGCTGCTCCTATTCTTTAACTACTTAAACATACAGCTATATTTGCCAATGATTCAGCACCCAGCATCTGCCTTCTGACTGATTGTGGTGTTTTTTGATCCTGCTATTTTCATCCCAGCCTCAGAGGGAGTGACTTGGAGGGAAAGTGGCCCAAAGAGCACCTTCAGACGTTTCAGAAGGCTAAGATCTCAGCGATGCCCATGGGGCTCTGATCTCTATCCAGGGATGTCTGCATTCAGAATCTATAAACGACTTATTACGTATGAATATTGCATATAACGCCAAGAACGTCTGTGCTAGAGGAGCAACCAGCAGCCATTGCTTGCAGAACTTCAACTGCCCACCAGGGGACACCATTGCCTCCAGTTTCCTACCGTGGGAAAGAGGGAATTCCCCCAAACTCCTCGGGACTCCACTCGAAGCTCCATTTGACTTTGAGCAATGATTCAGGTTTCTTTTTTCAGGTCAAGCCCTTTACCTTCCTATTTGGATGTTGACAGTTGGGGATGAACTGGAGACATTGAATCAACAGATTAAGGGCTCCAGGGATAGCTGCTGTTGTTGGCAGTGGTTTCAGTGTGGCAAATATTAATGATAACATTGGTGATGCTGGTGGCTACCAGATCAGTGGGATGCTTTATAATGCATTAATGTCCTCCATAAATACCGTCTCATTTAACCACCATATGAGAAAGTATTATTCCCACATAGCTGAAGAAACTAGGGAAACTGAGGGACTTACCCTAGGTCACCCAGCTTGTAAATCAGAGAGAGAATACAAACCCATGAATCCTGTTAACAAATCCTCTGTTCAGGGTTTAATTTGTGTACCTAAAATATAACTGTTTTTAAGAATCGCCCTCTGAAGGGTTGGTAAAGCAAATACTGCTAACAGATTAGCCTGCAACTCTGCCTGCCTCCTCACCAGCGTCCAGGCTCTCACTCCAACACACCGAAGGGAAAGTGATCGGATCAGTTCCTTCCCACTCAACTGTTGTTCTTGACTCACAGCAGAGGTTCCCCACTCTTCCTGAGTTGAAGACCGCTTGGAGAATCAACATCATTGAATCTAGTGGATTCTGGCCTCACTTTACCCTGACCAATTCGGTGACGGAGACTGTTACTTCATCTCTCCAGCCTTCAACTGCATCTTAGGTAAGAAGGAATGAGTTAAATCTCACCCATGAGACTCTTTGGGTTGTAAGTGACAGAGGCCCAACTCACACCTGCATGGGCAATTTCTTTGCCCACACAGCTGAATGGCAGAGAGGCTTAAGGTGGAGCTGCACTTAAGGATGGTTGAAACCAGGGAATAGCAGGATCTCTTAACCACTGAATTAAAAAATCAGTGCAGCTTTGGGGACTCTGTGCTTTCTTACACTATGGAGTAAAATCCACTTGACCTAAAAATAGCCTTATCTACAGGGAACGGCCAAAACCTCCAGGGTGGGTCAGGCTGGGATACAGTGGCTGGCTTCCTCCCAGGACTGCAAGCTGTGGCAATTGGCAGATACACAGAGGGGCAGTAAGAGAAGGACTTGGCTCCACCCAGGAAGATCAAAATGAAGTTAATGTGCATGAAGTCCAGTCTATAACTACCAGCCTCCACATACACACACACCCACTGTTCTGGGGACAGCTGGAGACACCAGAGGCCCTCCAGCCTGCAGCACCCTCTGATAACTGCCTTAGGCTTTACTTTGACCTGATCCCCCCTCTATATACAAAATGTAGTAGGGAGCCCATAGACCACAGATTGCTTTGATTCTACACCACCCCCACAGAAGGCTGTGTTCTAGGGCTGCCTGGTTCCCTTCCCGCTAAGCGGCTCCTCTCAAGCTCCGAGCCTCAACACTTTAGGAACAGAGTACCAGCCTTCAGGATAATTGTATATCCAGAGGTAGTGAACCCAGGGTTCACCCAACAATACTATTAAAGCAGAAATTGATTTCTTCAGACACACTTTTTCCTGCTTTTCAAGCACTCTCAGCTTCTAGGTTGGATAGTGAAACTGTTGGCAAAGCTCTTCTGGGTGAGCTGATGGAAGTCCTGCCCTCCTCCATCTGTACTGATAGGGAATGTGACATGGCCCATCAGAGGCATCAGGGACACTGCTGGATGGAGCTGTCCAAGGCTGAGCTCATAAGCTGGTCAGACACTAAAGCAAAGACTACACATACTTTGTCAGTCCTTGGCGCACTTCCATGTGACAGCCAACCCTTAGGACTCTCATTTATCAGAGGGCTCGCTTAGGCCAGGAGAGGTTAAGTGTACACGCACCTCGCAAATGGCAGAACTGGGATTTAAACTTGGCCTCTGAGAGCCTGAAGCCTGCTGGCATCCTTGCATCCTCTCCTGCATAGGTCCACCTCCTTAGCTCAGGCTCACTGGCCTGGGCCTCCTGATTCCACTGCTGCAACCTGTCTTCAAGTGCTGCAACGGCACATGCTGTCCACTATGAAGTGGACACCTAGTATTTCTATCAGCAGTGTCTTTCCAAAATGCAAATTTGGTGGTATTGCTTCTCTTTGCTCCAAACCACTGCACAGCCCCCGAGTGGCCTGTTGTATACGAACCCTTCCGTGTGGCAGTCCAGGCTGCTTCCCATCTCACACAGGCTCGGCATCCTTCTCCTCCCTCCTCTGCATTCACTCCAACTCTCTCAATGCGTCAAGGCCCATGTAAAAGCCCACCTCCTCCATGAAACCTTCTGTCCTGAAGCCACTGGTCTCAGAGAGTGAGAGTTGAAGGGGTTCCTTGTCTAGTGACTTTCAAACTAGGTGCTAAAAAACTACAAGGGTCCTCGGGACCTACACTGGGACAAACAGCTGCTGGGTTCATGTGGCAGGGAGGGGTCATGAGCTCCCGGCAGCAGATTCACCTTTATCTGCCATGGATTTGGGATTTCTGTAAAATTTCATCTGAAAAAGGTTCTGCTGCTAACATAATACATAATATTTTATGTATCACATACACATAATTATTATATTGTATATTATATAATATAGTATTTCTATGTAGTATATTATAAAAATAT